GGGCTGGGGGGGGTGGCTCCTGCACCGGGCTGGGGGGAGCGGCTCCTGCACCGGGCTGGGGGGGCGGCTCCTGCACGAGGCTGGGGGATGGGAGGGGGGCAGCGAGCTCAGGGGAGAGGCCTTATCTCAAAGACTGGGTGTGCAGCACCCTGCTTTGTGACGCACACGTCCAGGAGCTGAGCGTGAAGACGAAGCGGCCCACGCGCCCCGGCCTCGGTCAGAGCCCGCACGCAGCTACCGCGGGGCGGGGCCGCTCGGGCCAAGCCCGCACGCAGGTACCGCGGGGCGGGGCCGGCTGCCAGCTCTTTCCTGGGTCCAGCCCCAGGCGTCGCCTCGCGTTGCCTGACGCGTGATTCAGACTCAGAAAAGGCCTGGGCTGCCGGCCCAGGAGGGTGAGGGCTCCCCTGCGCGCACGCGTCACCCTGGCGCCGGCGCCGCCCCGGCGGGCACGCACACGTTGGTGGTGAAGATGCCGTAGAGCAGGTCCAGCTCGGGCAGCAGGAAGGTGCTCTGCAGCTCGTGGTAGTAGAAGGGCACCTCGCCGGGCCGCGAGCAGTTGAGCCGCGCCTTCATGAAGGTGGTCCAGGTGTCCTCCAGCAGGAAGCGCCCCCCGATGTCGTTCTTGCAGACGCGCGCCGCCCTGGAGAACACCGTCTTCCCACAGTCGTGCTCCACCGCGTTTTCTCGGAAGAAGAAGTAGGTGAAGTTCCCGATGTCGTAAGCCGACACGAAGTTGGGCTCTGGAAAGGACGCGCAGGAGCGAAGCCTCAGCGCCCCGGGCTGGCCCCCTGCCTGGCAGGGGGCGGGGTGCGCCCAGAGCCCAGGGCGGCTGGGCCCCAGCGGCCCACACCGCCTGGCACCAGGTGCATGGACGCGGCCCACACCCGCTGGCACCAGGTGCATGGACGCGGCCCACACCCGCTGGCACCAGGTGCATGGACACGGCCCACACCCGCTGGCACCAGGTGCATGGACGCGGCCCACACCCGCTGGCACCAGGTGCATGGACG